TTAAAAAGTATTTTCTACAATAGTATGAATATAAGATCAAAATATGTACTTTGAATGCATCTCCTAAGCAGTCATTTTAATATTGTTATTTATATTTCTTTATTTCTTTTTTTTTTTTTTTTTTTTTTTTTTTTTTGAACGAGTCTTGTCTGTAGCCGGCTGGAGTGCAGTGGCCGTTCGCTCACTGCAACTCCGCTCCCTTTAGCCATTCCTCCTCAGCCTCCGAGTAGCTGACACGCCCCCCCTTGCCTGCTAGTTTTTTTTTTTATAGAGTTTCACTGTTACCATGTCTCATTCTGACTCGTGATCCCCTCTCCTCCAAGTCTATTCAGCTTGCCCCCCCCTGTTATTTATATTTCTGAAATATAAAGTGTTTAAAGTGAATTATGGTTATAGACAATTTTTTAAAATCCTGCATACATTATGACTAGTACATTAAAATTATTTATACTTATTTATATAATATCCAAAAAAAATACTACCAAATTGTAACATGCATCCAACATACATATTGCTTTATCCAATGGGGATAGTTATAGGTAAGCATAATTTTAGTGTCTTTCATTTTACTAAATTGGAATGCTGCCCTTCCAGGACAAATAGACAGGTGATATGGTCACCCAAAAACCATAATAGCCCTTCAGTTAGTTATGTGGCAAGCTCACATATATTCTACTATATGAACAAAGTCAGATTCAGTTCCTAATTTAAAAAAGTGCTGGTGAATTGTCAGTTGTATTTCAATATGGAACCCCCATTCAATGGCTAGGAGATGAGAGCAGCAGAGATGAAAGAGAAACCTTATACAGTTCTGCTGAGAATATGCTTTTTTTCTTCATAATGCTCATGTTTCTCATGCTAAGAGTAGCTGTGCATTAGGGGTAGTTTGAGAGAAACTCCTTTTAGGGGAATATTTTCTGGCTGACTTGATCAATCATATCTAATCTGAGTTTTTTCTCAAGCTACATTTAACTTCTTTTTTCTCTCAATATAACTTTGCAATAGAATCAGACTGAGAGCTGTTCTCTTCAATGCTTTGGATGTCTGTTTTAGAAGCGCTAATACAATCCCTTGGTGTTGACATAGAGGTGGGTTTTCACAGGGAGAACCATCCTATCTATCTGGACTCATGCTGGAAATCCAGCAGTATTTTTTTCAAGTCACCATAATAAATTGAAACTGAGGCTGACACACCGCTCCCATTCCCGTTATTATGAAGGTGCAATTCTACCCCCAAATCCTGTAGGCTCTCCTGTACCATAGTCTTCAGTCTGATGAGGTACTGGAGTGCTGCTGTGGCAATTGGGGTTCATTTAAGATGTAAGCTGCCAGCTGTGAGCTCTGTGCTTTGGAGTATGCCTCACTGGCAGATGGTAGGGGTCAAGAGAGGACACTAGCCACAAGTAGAGGGCAAGCAGGAGTGCTGAAGCTGAGTGCTCAGAACGTAGAGAGCCATTGCTTTAAAGTGTAAGTAACCAAAAAGATAGCACCCTATTCAACCATTGTAGTAGGAGATTGAGAGTCTACCTTCAGCAGGCACCTGGCTTCAAGTCGCACAACTACCTCCTGTCATGAAGATGTGAAAAGTTTATTTTGTCATTGATTATAACCAATTAGCATACACAGATGGCATCCCCAGTGACCAGGTGAATTTAGGATGAGCTATGTATGACATGGTGCTGTAAATTCTTCTACTTGTGGACTAATTATGATGACCGTCTTTCTGTCTTAGCAGTCTCTTAAGCAGATTGATTGTGATGCATGTCACATTCTGGTTTAGTTGTGTAATAAAACAGTTTTCTTTCTGTCCTATCATTGTGAAGTTTTTCTGGGGCTGGAGAGAATTTCTCTTGTTATACTTTCCAAACACAGTCTAGAATTACCAGACATGATATAAACATATAAGGTGCTAACCAGGCTTTATTCTAGAAGGGTCTTTCCCTCTCAGGCTTCCAATCAACTCACAATTGTGCTGCAAAGTGCATGCTCTTCCCTGAATATGCAGGAAGAATTGCGTCTCTGCCTATTTGGTATCTATTTTCCTCTACAGTCACTTCCAGAGAGGCTAGATCAGATTTCTACAAACCTTACAGGGCAGCAATCAACCGTTTTACCTCTTTCAGTGACTTTTTTGTTGTTGTTGTTGAGTTGGAGTCTCGCTCCATTGCCCAGTCTGGAGAGCAGTGGCATGATCTCAGCTCACTGTAACCTCCATCTCCTGGGTTCAAGAGATTTTCCTGCCTCAGCCTCCCAAGTAGCTGGGATTACAGATGTGCACCACCAAGCCTGGCTAATTTTTTTTTTTTTGTATTTGTAGTAGAGTTGGGGTTTCACCAAAGGCTGGGCACGGTGGCTTACTCCTGTAATCCCAGCACTTCGGGAGGCCAAGGTGGGCAGATCATTTGAGGTCAGGAGTTTGAGACCAGCCTTACCAACATGGAGAAATCCTGTCTCTACTAAAAATACAAAAAATTAGTCAGGCATGGTGGTGCATGCCTGTAATCCCAACTACTTGGGAGGCTGAGGCAGGAGAATCACCTGAACCCGGGAGGAGGAGATTGCAGTGAGCTGAGATTGCGCCACTGCACTCCATCCTGGGCAACAAGAGCAAAACTCCATCTCAAAAAGAAAAAGAAAAGAGAAGAAAAGAAGAAAAGGATTTGCATTTCTTATATAAAAAGTGTTTTTTTTTGTTGTTGTTGTTTGTTTTTTTGTTTTTGTTTTTGTTTTTTTTGAGACAGAGTTTTGCTCTTGTTGTCCAGGCTGGAGTGCAGTGGCACCAACTCGGCTCACCACAACCTCCACCTCCCAGGTTCAGGTGATTTCTCCTGCCTCAGCCTCTCGGTAGCTGGGATTACAGGCATGCACCACCATGCCCGGCTAATAATCCTTTTCTTTATAAGTCTCAGAGAGACATTAAAATGAGGCTACAATTATGTCTTTTTTCTTTGAGCTATGTATTTACCTCTGGAAACTGCTTGGTATTGCCACAAGTAGCTATAAATTGAACTACTAATGCCACACTGGACACTATAACCCACACCCTATAGCCTAACAATGTATATCCAATCAATAATCAATTTATTTTTGTAAATAAAAAAACATTTTGACAGACAACTTTGTATCAATCCACTCTATGTGCCTCTCTTTTTGCCTTTACAAATCCACTTGTAACTGCTGCTAATCAAAGTATATGTTCCAGACAACTTGAATCTTTGCTCCCAGGCTACAATCCTCAAGTTTGGCCCAAATAAATTGTATACTTATATTCATGTTTTCTCAGCTATTTCCTTTTAGGTAAACATCATTTGGAATGTGCCAGAGCAGCCTCTGAGGGGATCTCTCCTTTGATTGTACTTTGCTTTCTGTAACACCTAAGGATGCAGAGTTAGGTTGATCCCACTTAGAATCTGCACATAAGATCTGGCTTCTGCCTGGGATTACAAGACAGGGCCAGACTTTGAATTGGGAATGTACCGAAAACCAATAGAAGGCATTTTCTGCATTGTGAGATGTCAACATAGACATCCTACAGCTCCCTTTGAGACTGTGGCTCTTTGAGCTTTTCAGATTTTGTCCAATAAGATCTTGTAGCAGGTCTGCCACAGTTATGTGAGAGGATCCAGATGTAAATAGAATCTGATAGCAAATTCTGTAAATAAAAATAAATATCTTAGGAGTGAGAGATCAAGACCACAAAGTATCCAGAGCCACAACCACAACTATACCTGCCTGTAAAATGTTATGTACAATATTCTTGTCCTTCCTCCTACCCAAAAGCTTGTTAATCAGAACAAGTAATTCTGGAGCTCAATCAGGGCAGTTCCATTTTCTATTTAGAATTAGTATGACTCTCTCTAGCCTGGCTTATTATTGGACCCTCAGCCCAGGGTCACTGGGAACCCTCTCACAATGTTGTAGGCATTTTTTTGAGACATTTGAGGATGTCCAGAGCAGAATTATATCAGGCTGACAAGAGTGGTTAATTCTGCTTTTGTCTCATTGTAAGAGAAATGAGTCATTCTGTGTTTGTTCCTTCCCTTATACAAGGGATATTTTTGGTTGGTGCCCAGATGAGAGTTTCTCCAGTTTTCTGGTACTTGGGTAAAAACAAGGAGGAGATCTGGAGACTCAAGCAGATAAACTGATTGCTGTAATTTTATATGGCCATTAGAAAAATAGATGAAGCAGTCATGGTTTCTACAATCCAGGAACTCTTAGTCCAGACTAGCAACTGAAAAAATGGTTGTATTAAGTATCATTTGGTTGATACAGCAAATAGATGTGTGAAAAAATCGTGAGCTTCATTTGGGCCACTTTCTTTATATTGTTGTGGCTTCTGATGTCATCACCTGAAGGGATATTTATGGACAGAAGCATTATTATTTTTTGATTTCTTTTACCTTGATAAGAATACACATTTATCTTCTAATAATATTACCCTGGAAAACTTTAAGATACTTGTTTAAATTGCTTATTAGTATATGTTATAAAATTGACAGGGCAGTGGCTAGAAAAGATTAAAATTACACAAACACTGGGATTTAAGTTTCTCTTAGGTAAGCTTAGGAAAAACAGAACTTGAAATACTCCAGTGGCATAGAGAACAGAATTCTACAGAGGGTCTCTCCTTTCCCCAGTTCTGTTCAGATTCACCCTTTTTGAGGACCTTGTTTAGATCTCACCCAGCCCTGGAGTCTTGCCTGTATATATAGCTATGAAAAATGTACATGTTTGTGTCCATGCCCTTAAGTTTATACTTTATGATTCAGAAAAGTAACATATATACCCCGATGTTGTGGATCTTATTCTAGTCTCTTCTCAGAGTTAGAGAATACATTAGAGAATATTTCTGGGTTGAAAATTATTTTATTGGATAATTTCAGTCATTCCTATAAGTCAGAACCAGTTCTATTTACTCTCTCTTTTCACCTTGAGTCAAATTAAAAATTCTGTCCATAACCACTTGGTAAATATGTGTGTGTGTATGTGTTTTTCAGGGACTATTGACATTTATGGATGTGGCTGTAGAATTCTCTCTGGAGGAGTGGCAGTGCCTAGACACAGCACAGCAGAATTTATATAGGAATGTCATGTTAGAGAACTACAGAAACCTGGTATTCCTGGGTGAGGATAAGTTTTTTTTAAATTATTATTATTATTATTATTATTATTTTGAGACAATTTCATTCTGTTGCCCAGGCTGGAGAGCAGTGGCACGATCTCGGCTCACCACAACCTTTGCTTCTAGGGTTCAAGTGATTCTCCTGCCTCAGCCTCCTGAGTAGCTGGGATTATAGGCGTGGGCCACCACGTCCGGTTAATTTTTGTATTTTTAGTAGAGATGGGGTTTTACTATGTTGGTCAGGCTGGTCTCGAACTCCTTACCTCAGGGTCCGCCTGCCTCAGCCTCCTAAAGTGCTGGGATTACAGGTGTGAGCCACTGCGCCCTGCGGGTGAGGATAACTTTAATACACAATTCCTGATATACTCTAAAGGTTTCATTTCTGTTTTTTGCTGCATTTTTTTGGCAATTTATGCTTTACATAAATGAGTTTCAGATACCTGTTTTTAAGAAAATGTAGGATTTATCTGTGTAGATGTTTCACCCTGACCTGAACTTTCCACCTTTCTGAGCTGATCTGTATCCTTCACTCTAGATTAGTGGTAATTCCAGAAATTTAGTGGCATAAAATACTGTTGCCCACACCTTAAAATCTAATTGCCACCACCAATTTTTGATTCAGTAGCACTGAGTAGTAAAATTAAGAACATACAAATTGAAAATATTTTCTTAACATTTAGAAATTTTGTTATAAGTTAGTATTTTGTGATTAATTTCCTAGAATATTCTATCACATTCTCTTTAAAATATTTTTTTCTGAGATGGAGTCTTGCTCTGTCACTCAGGCTGGATGCAGTGGTGCAATCTCAGCTCACTGCAACCTTTGCCTCCTGGGTTCTAGTGATTTTCCTGTCTCAGCCTCCTGAGCAGCTAGGACTACAGGCGTGCACCACCACATCCAGCTAATTTCTGTATTTTCAGTAGAGACAGGGTTTTGACATTGTTGACCAGTCTGGTCTCGAACTCCTGACCTCAGGTGATCTACCTACCTCGGCCTCTCGGAGTGCTGGCATTACCGGCATGAGCCACTGTGCGTGGCCTGCATTCTCTTTACTGAGAAAATTACTAGGTTGGTAATTGGAGAATATGAGCAAGATTCATGTTATTTATTTTTAATAAAACAGGTATTGCTGTGTCTAATTTAGACCTGATCACCTGTCTGGAGCAAGGAAAAGAGCCCTGGAATATGAAGAGACATGAGATGGTAGCCAAACCCCCAGGTAGGTGAGAGCGATTATAACAGACGACACAGATGAGAGGTCCAAAGGTGAAAAAGAAAGCCAGTCCATAAAATGTGACTTGGAAATCTGCGTTCCAAAGGAAATAGTTTCTAGGCAGCTTTTTTTTTTTTTTTTACTTCAACATAGGGGCATCTTCTGTCTTATGCTGATTCTTTAAAAATTCTACTTTCCCTTCAGTGATCTTCCTTCAAGTTTACAGTGAGCTAAAGTCCTCTTCATGGCATATAAGAGATTGTACAATCTGACTTTTTTTTTCCATTGTTTTTGGAGACTCAGAAATATCTGCATAATTTTGATAAACTCTGTGTTACACTATTTTGTAAGTTCTCTTTTTGCATCGTGTCTGAAATGTGTAAGAGTTGTGGTTTCTGTTCCATTTTTTTTGTTGTTGTTGTTTATTTTTCTGCACATTTCATCCTGTTTGTATTACTACAGGCTTGAAATACAGTTTGAAATTAAGAAGTGTGATGTTCTGCTTTGTTTTTATTCCTCATGATTGCTTTGACTATTCAAAGTTTCTCGTAGTTTTGGCTGGGTGCAGTGGCTCACAGCTATAATCCTATCACTGTGGGAGGCTGAGGCAGAAGGATCCCTTGAGCCCAGGAGTTGGATACCAACCTGGGCAACATAAGGAGACCCTGTCTCTTAAAAAGATTTATTGGCCTGGGCATGGTGGCTCACGCCTGTAACCCAGCACTTTGGGAGGCCGAGGTGGGTGGATCACCTGAGGTCAGGAGTTCAAGACCAGCCTGACCAACATGGTGAAGCCTCGTCTCTACTAAGAATACAAAAAATTAGCCAGGCATGGTGGTGCATGCCTGTAATCCCAGCCACTCCAGAGACTGAGAGAGGAGAATCGCTTGAACCGGGGAGGCAGAGGTTGCTGCAAGCTGAGATTGTGCCACTGTACTCCAGCCTTAGCAATAAGAGTGAAACTTCATCTCAAAAAAAAAAAAAGGGGGTTTATTTTAGTTTCATGTAAATTTAGGGATTGTATTTTCAATTACTGTGAAAAAAATGCCACTGGAATTTTGGTAGGGAGTTTCTTGAATCTATAGATCACTTTGGATAATATGGTACTTTAACAATATTTATTGGTTACCATTCTCTCATCCCAGTAGTATAGTATCTAATTTTTTTTTTATTTTTTAAGTTTACTGTTTAGATGTTCATCTTATTTGATCTGTCTTAAGTGCTATTCGCTTGACCCCCCCCAATATTTATTCTTTAAATCCATAGATATTAAATATTTTAAAGCTTACTTGAATCTTTTCTAATTTCTTCATTGAAATCTTATATCTTTAATTGTAAAGATTTTTTTTCACTTTCTTGGGTCAATTTGTTCTCAGAAATACATTATTTTAATGCTATTGTAAATAATATTGTTTTCTTTGTTTTAGACAATTTCGATTTATGAAACCATAACTTGTATGTTGATTTTATATTTGGTAATTTACTGAGTGTATTTATTAATTTAGATAGGTTTTAATGTACTGTTTATGTATTTTTATATATAAGATTTTATGATCTACAAACAGAAACATTTTACTTAGTTGTCTTCAATTTCAATGGGTTTTTTATTTTTTGACTAATTCTTCTGCCACATACTTTCAGTGTTATGTTAAAAGAGAAGCATTAACAAGTGGGCACAATATAGTTTGGCATTGGTGTCTGTAAATTTGAAAATGCAAATACCTCTTCAAGTTTTTATAAACTGATTTCAGAAGGTAAAGTTGTTTTTTTTCTTTTCCGAGACTAAGTCTCGCTCTGTCACCCAGGCTGTAGTGCAGTCACGTGATCTCGGCTCACTGCAACCTCCGCCTCCTGGGTTCAAACGATTCTGTTGCCTCAGCCTCCCGAGTAGCTGGGATTACAGGCGCATGCCACCATGCCCAGATAATTTTTAGTAGAGATGGGGTTTCACCATGTTGGCCAGGCTGGTCTCGAACTCCTGACCCTGTGATCCACCCTCCTCAGCTTCCCAAAGTGCTAGGATTATAGGCATGAGCCACTTTGCCCAGGCAAGATCTTCTTTTTTGGGCGCCAGGGTTCTGGGATGCCCCCTGGGTTTGTGGAGAGGGGTAGTAGCTTGGTCTCAAGCCTGCAGTTTCTGTACTAGGGTCCACCTTTAGTTGGCTGGTTACAAGGGGCTTGGATAGTTGTAATTCCTATTTTATTTTATCTTGTTTTATTTTATTTTTCTTTTGAGATGGAGTTTTGCTCTTGTTGCCCTGACTGGAGTGCAGTGGCGTGATCTCAGCTAACTGAAACCACCGCTTCCCGGGTTCAAGCGATTCTCCTGCCTCAGCCTTCCAAGTAGCTGGGATTACATGCATGTGTCATCAGGCCTGGCTAATTTTGTATTTTTAGTAGAGACAGGGTTTCACCATGTTGATCAGGCTTGAACTCCTGACCTCAGGTGATCTGTCCACCTTGTCCTCCCAAAGTGGGATTACAGGCATGAGCCATTGCACCCAGCTTCCCATTTTGTTTTTAAACAGACTGAATATCTTTCAGAATTTTGCTCTGTATGGCAGACACTAGGGCACGTGTCTGCATTCAGGTCTGCATATGGTTGGGCCTTATATCAAAATGTGGGTGAGTATGGCTTTCACTGAGTACCAAAGAGGATTTCTACAGGTCATTGTTTAGGTTTCTCTGTAGGCAGAACTGGCCATGAACTGTGGCCCATGGAGCTGGAACTGAGTCATTGAACTGTTTCAGGGACCACAGTGAAGGCCAAGGTCTGCTGCAGGCCTGCCTGTATGGCTATAAATTGATGTCTTACTCCAGGCCTCTGAAAGGGCAGGACCTCTCCCGTACTGTGCCTGGGAGGAGTTTGGGATGATTACAGAGGAAGTTCAGAATTCTCAGTGGGGGCTGGGTGTGGTGGCACACGCCTGTAATCCCAGAACTTTGGGAGGCCAAGTGGGCAGATCACCTGAGATCAGGAGGTCAAGACCAGCCTGGCCAACATGGCAAAACCTGTCTCTACAAAAATACAAAAATTAGCTGGGCATGGTGGTGCATGCCTGTAGTCCCAGCTACTCGGGAGGCTGAGACAGGAGAATGTTGAACCCAGGAGGTGGAAGTTTCAGTGAGCTGAGGTCATGCCACTGTACTCCAGCCTGGGCGACCCACACCACAGTGAGATTTTGTCTCAAAAAAAAAAAAAAACACATATCTATATATATATAAAAAAAATTCATATATATATGAATTCTCAGTGGAACCAAGTTGAGTGGGCTGTTTTCTTACCTGTAGCCAAGAACAGGGGTCCTGTAGTTTGCCACCTGAATGAGGGCCTGGCTTCTGAAAAGAACACTCCTTAATTTGGGGCTTTAGCAGAGTTTCACTTCCCCCTCCCTGGATCTCAAAGCTCTCTTGTTTTGTTTTGTTTTTTTGAGACGGAGTCTCGCTCTGTCGCCCAGGCTGGAGTGCAGTGGCGCGATCTCGGCTCACTGCAAGCTCTGCCTCCTGGGTTTACGCCATTCTCCTGCCTCAGCCTCCTGAGTAGCTGGGACTACAGGCGCCCGCCACCGCGCCCGGCTAATTTTTTGTATTTTTAGTAGAGACGTGGTTTCACCGTGGTCTCGATCTCCTGACCTTGTGATCCGCCCGCCTCGGCCTCCCAAAGTGCTGGGATTACAGGCGTGAGCCACCGCGCCCAGCCTCAAAGCTCTCTTAAAGGCACTTATTTTGGAGATGGGGCTTTCTACATAACCCAGGCTGGTCTTGAAATCCTAGCCTGAAACAATTTTTCAACCGTGATGTGCCATGTAATTCTCATTACAGGTGTGAGCCATAATGCGTGGCTCGCTCATAAAGGCATTTATGTCAGGAATGGCTGACACCTGTGGTCTCAGCTACTTGGGAAATTTAAGGGGTAGGATTATTTAAGCCTGAGAGTTTGAGGCTAAGTGAGCCATAATTGTGCCACTGTTCTCCAGCTTGGGTGATAGAGTGAGATCCTGTCTTAAAAAGAAGCTATACATTTCAGGCATGTTAAGTATATTCACATTGCTATGCAAAAGACTTCTAGAAATTTTACATCTTGTTAAACTAAAACTCAAATACACATTAAGTAACAATAACTTATTTTACCCTCTCTCCACCCCTTGACAAATACCCTTCCACTTTCTGTTTTTATGAGTGTAACTACGTAAGGCATCTCATGTAAGTGGAATTATACGGTATCCATCATTTTGTATCTGGCTTATTTCAGGTAACGTAATACTCTCAAAGTTTGTCTTAAAATATGAACAGATTGGCTGGGCACCGTGGCTCCCGCCTATAATCCCAGCACTTTGGGAGGCCGAGGCAGGCGGATCACCTGAGGTTAGGAGTTCGAGACCAGCCTGGCCGACATGGTGAAACCCTGCCTCTACTAAAAATACAAAAATTAGCTGGGTGTTGTGGCACATGCTGTAATCCCAGCTACTCAGGAGGATGAGGCAGGAGAATCCCTTAGAACCTGGGATGTAGAGGTTATAGTGAGCCAAGATTGCACCACTGCACTCCAGGCTGGGCAACAGAGCGGGGCTCTGCGTCAAAAAACAAAACAAAAAAGTGACAAGATTTTGTAAGAAGTCTTTTAAGACTGAATAGCCCCTTCTGCACGATCACACTGAGCCAGCGCCTGGACCTGGAACTGGACCGCAGTCCCCCAGCTTCGCCCACCACCTCCCTACCACGGACCCCCGCAAAGCGAATGAGCTTCAGGCCTTTGTGAAAACGTGTAAACAGGATCCGAGCGTTCTGCACACCAAGGAAATGCACTTCCTGAGGGAGTGGATAGAGAGCATGGGGGGTAAAGTACCACCTGCTACTCAGAAAGCTAAATCAGAAGAAAATACCAAGGAAGAAGAATCTGATAGTAAGAAGGTGGAGGAAGACTTAAAGGCAGACAAACCATCAAGTGAGGAAAGTGATCTAGAAATTGATAAAGAAGGTGTGATTGAACCAGACACTGATGCCCC